ATTTACTCAATAACTTACCGTATAAAGATAAAAATACCTTGATGTTTGGATCACTATAATAAACTAGAACATTTACTCAATAACTTACCGTATAAAGATAAAAATACCTTGATGTTTGGATCACTATAATAAACTAAAACATTTACTCAATAACTTAAAGTATAACGATAAAAATACCTTGATGTTTGGATCACTATAATAAACTAAAACATTTACTCAATAACTTAAAGTATAAAGATAAAAATACCTTGATGTTTGGATCATTATAATAAACTAGACATCTTTTAGTCGTCATCTTTATACAGCAAATTATTGAGTAAATGTTTTGCCTCCTCCCCTCCCAGTGGCACAGGGATATGTTTGCGGACTTATACTGCTAGAAACTGGGTTTCGATACTCGTGGTGGGCAGAGAAAAGATAGCCCTTTGTGTAACTTTGTGCTTTAAAACAAACAAACTGTAAATGTTTCAATGTATTTTGGGACTGAAGACAATCTTATTTTTAAACGTTTATCTTGTACTATTATTTTTTATTTTATTTTAACAACTGTTTTACTTAAAATTTACACCAGTGTCGTCTTAACCTAAAAACAAAAATAATAGTTGACATAAAAACATCAAGTAGTCAGTCACTTCAATTATTATATTTTGTTTAATTTTGTTTGTTTGTTTGAGGTTAAGCACAAAGCTACACAATGAGCTATCCCTGCTCGTCCCACCACGGGTATCGAAATCCGGTTTCTAGCGTTGTAAGTCCGCAGACATACCGCTGTGTCACTGGGGAACAATGGGCTATCTGTTGTCTGTCCTCCACGAGTATCGAAACTTGATTTCTAGCATTGTAAGTCCGCAGACATTCCGCTGCGCCATTGGGGGGCGAACTTATTGACTAGATGAAAGTAATTAGTAAAAAGCACCCACGTCCATCTCTTTAGTTACGTTTGCGTGACCGAATAATGGGAAGTGACCATCACTCCTATAACGCATTCAGGGTCCCATTTATTTCTCCCCTTAGAACAATGTAAATTCGCGATGGATGTATACAAACAACATGTATAAGTATATTGTATGTTTATGTTTAGTGTCAAATTTCGAAGGAAGACTTCTCCTCATCGACGTTTATGTTATTCATTAGACATGATATATTTTCTTATGGTTAGGGTTGCGGGTTCGAATCCCATACCCGAACATGCTCGCACTTTCAGCCGTGGAGGCATTATAATGTGATGGTCAATCTCCCTATTCATTGGTAAAGGGTAGCCCAAGAGTTGGCAGTGGGTGGTGTTGACTCTAGTTTTGATATATAAAACGGCTAGCGCAGATAGCCCTGGAGTAGCTTTGCGCGAAATTCAAAACAAATAAACAAATGTTTCTTATATAATGTAAAATAGTTACCTAGTAAAAGGGATGACTGGAGTATTGGCTCACACTTTCTCCTTTAGTTTCCAAGACTGTCCGAGAGGTAAAGCTGCAGTGGCTGAACGAGAAGTCAGTATCAATGTACAATGATCTTAAACTTGCACAGTTTGAACTACAGCAGGTCAGCCTGGCGGTGTGCAAAGAGTCTTTCCAAATTGGTGGGTAACTCTAACTAAATGCTGTAACTCTAAAAATACATATATTTTTTTAATATAACATATTAGATTAACTGTGGAGTTTTCAAACATCTGTTACGCTGTATATTACTGAATTAGTGATGTAGTGTTTTCTTCTTCTAGAATCTACAGTATTACGTCTTTTTACTTTCTTTTAGAGATATTGACGTGGTCATCCTTCTTTTTAACTTCATATTTTTGGAGCTTTTAAAATATGTGGATTTTTGTTCTCTTTTATAAGTTAAATGGTATCCTTATAATGTTGTTAGGTCATCAAAAATTTCGGTCCCGTTTTGTAAAATTTTTTTTAATAGGTCAAGAAATATAATGTAAATTAATATATTTCCTGTTACCTTCTAACTGTATGTGCTGATATAATATAGGCTTTCTTAACATAATCCACATTTCAAGAATTTATTAATTTTGCAAATGCATTTACAATAGATTTTATAGATTAAATTGAAATTTTAATAAAGCAAAAGTATGTCGAAAAAGAGGGATTAGGAAATAAATATATATATATATATATATATTTAAAAAAAGGAAAAAATATTACTTCATAAGGAAGAATAGCGTGAATTTAGCACAGCATATTCAAACCTTAGATGAAAAAATAATTAATTGTAACATTACGTAGAACACGAAAGAAAATAAGGAAAAAGAAACCAAGGCAGCTACAAAATAAACATGTACCACCTGGGTATACGCCATAAAGTGAATATTTATGCTATGTGCCCTGGTTTTTGAGGTACTGGCGGAAGTAACACCCATATATATATATATATATATTCTATTTTTAAAACAAATATTTATATGTTTGACATTTGGCATATAATATTAATAAGAACAGCCGAGTGAAATTAAACACTGTATAATGATTTTTCAACCATACTATATCTGCTATATCCAATACCGACGAGGCATTCACCCAATACCAGGGCTATTTAGACAGATACAACAGTGGTTGAGATGGTATCTATAGTGGCAAACCGGTTGACAACAGCTGTAACGATGTGAACTTGATTAAATTACGCAAGAGTGTATGAGATAAAACAGTGGCGTGAAGTTGGCATTCATAATGCCTTAACATACTGTCATTGAACTCATACTTAAAAAATGATATTTTTCAGACACAATTTATTTTGCAATATTTGAAGTAAAATGTTTGAAAATTGTAATGATGGATCAAAATCGGGACATCACCTGGATACCATGCAACCGTTGATCAATGCAATTTGGTCTTGAAAAATGTGAAAAACTGTGAGTTTAAATAGTAAGCAGGAGGTATCTTTCCTACACTCAACTATGTTGCTAAGCCTAAAATACAAAGTCCTGTAACTGCCGTTAAACCTAACGTTTATGTCAAACTTAACTTGACAGTGATTTCTTGAAATATCTATCTAGTCGAAGACATTTAAACCATCATGTTCACTTAAGTTTATTTCTAACTGCTTAATTAAGCTGAATATTTATTAACTAATTATACTAACATATATGTTGTACATAGTTGTTTGCATAAATGAAAACTAATTAAAGTTTTATAAATTTTGAGTAGTTTTAAAACTTTTACAATAACTTTAATGCCTCTGTTAATAGATTTATTTTAATAATTATCAATATGGATCATGAACACCAGTTTAAAGAATTTGTTAAGAAATCAAGGAAACCATAATATAAATATCTTCCATAACAATCTTAAGCCCAGAATTCACCTTTTACAGAACACACTTCATAATTACAACACGGTTTTGTTCAAAAATGAGGTAATTAAGACCCTAGAATGTATTATCCTCTTGTAGTTTAAAGATATATTATATATTCTAAAGTCCATATGTGTAACCTAAATCTGTGAAGTATGTTGTAGGTTGATGTAAGAAGGAAGATTCGGACATTGTATTGATTCAGATTTCTGATTTGTTCACAGGTGAGTAGAGCTGCCTACAAGCCAAGCTATGTATAGATTATTCTATATTTTAAAGTATGTTTGTATATGCTAAATCTGTGAAGTATGTTGTGGGTTGGTGTAAGAAGGATGATTCTGACGTTGTACTGATTCAGATTTGTTCACAGGTGAGTAGAGCTGCCTACAAGCCAAGCTATGTATAGATTATTCTATATTTTAAAGACACCAACCCACAACATACTTCCCAGATTTAGCATACTACAAACAGAGAGAAGGATGATTCTGACGTTGTACTGATTCAGATTTCTGATTTGTTCACGGGTGAGTACAGCTGCCTACAAGCCAAACTATGTATAGGTCATTCTATATTTTAAAGTCTGTTTGTATATGCTAAATCTGTGAAGTATGTTGTGGATAGGTGTAAGAAGGAAGATTCTGACGCTGTACTGATTCAGATTTATTCACAGGTGAATACAGCTGCCTACAAGCCAGACTTGATCTGAAACGATCCATTGGTCATTATCTCGTTCAGTACTATCTTCCTTCGACCCTCATCGTCTTTATATCATGGGTCTCCTTCTGGCTCGACGTCGACGCCATTCCTGCTCGAATTACATTAGGTGTCACCACTTTGCTGACCATTTCGTCCGAGAGTAGTGATCAACAGTCTAATCTGGCACCGGTTTCTTATGTTAAAGCCTTAGATGTCTGGATGGGCACGTGCACTTTTTTTGTCTTCGCTGCCTTGATAGAATTTACATTTGTCAGCTACTTGGCAAGAAAACGGGGAAACGTCCAGAAATTTAAAGCAGAAGATGGCGAAGTTAATGCTACTTTGATTGTGCCCGTAAGTTATTTTTAACATTATCAATCGATCTGTTTACACGATGGTTAATTACTGTTTCTTTGTTTTGTTTTCCAGAGTAATGTTTTGGCTTAAGCGCGAAATATCAATAAAGTACGTATTCAGTGGTGTGGAAGTGAAGATGTTCGTACATATATATATATATATATTTGCCACTTCTGTAATTTGTATTGTATTTCGTGATGAAAAAAATCTGATTATCTTATAATGTAGCATGTAGTTAAAGCTAAAAACATCTGTTAGATGTTTTTTTTTTACGATTCCAAATTTTACAGGATATGGTTTGCTGAATAATCTAATATATGTGTTTCACCCATTATTTGAGGATATTTAGTTTTATTCGGTCGTATGCAGGATTTTGGAAAGAGGGGACCAGTTCTTGGACCAGAGCATAAGCTTAATGACATATAGGCTTAATTGTATAATTGTTATGGTACATGTCATTCCTTAATAATATGTTTAAAAAGTAATAAGCTTCATTAGTTGTATAGAATATATAATTATTGCTTATTCTATAGCTTCACAAACTGAGTAACAAAATCTAAAATGATCCTTTGGACCCCCACTTATATCCGCCCTTGTGTTATTGTGTTTTAGCCAGCCTTGCACATATGCTATAACTTTAAAGCTGTCAGGAATTTTATCCTTGAAGTTGGATTGTAAGTTTGCGATGCTCGGATGTGGTTCGCCATTTATTATCCAAAAGTAAGAAAAAACATCCTCATTCAGTCAGTCTCAAACTTAGTTTATTCGAATGGATAATCTTGCAGAATTCATTGTATCTAATTCAATATGTTTAGCATTACATAAGCTCAAAGGCTTACAACGATCTCATATTGAGGTAATATAGATTCAGCATACGTGGGTTTTGGTGTAAAAAATCTTCAGCAAAAAAACAACAACAAAAAAAAGAATAAACTGAATTAGTTCTGAAGTTCTGGTGTTCCATTTATATTATGCTACTTATATCTATTGTTGAAATTGTGTACAGTTTTAAAAGCTTTCATTTCAAGGATTATGCGAGCAGCATTTCAAGATATTCCTTCCTACTTCAGAGATAAAGAAATATATGCATGAATACTATAGTCCAAAGTAATGTTCATTAAAGTCCAACTCGATCTAACTTTTGTATAAACCAGCCCTTAATAATTGTCTTACGATTTTACACTTTTGCAATTAATCCTCTCTTCCCTCCCCAGGCATTCAACAGTAAGCTCGAGGGCTCATAACGTAATGTTTAGGGTTTGATCCCTGCTGCGGGAAGAGCATAGATAGCTCGTTGTGCATCTTTGCACTTAAATAGAGTAAACGTAATTTTTCTTATTATCTATTTTCTATTTTGAAGTACGTGATAAATCTACTTTTCATGTTAAAAAGTTGGCCCGGCATGGCCAGGTGGTTAGGGACTCGCAATCTGCGGGTCGCGGGTTCAAATCCCCGTCCCATCAAACATGCTCACCCTTTCAGCCGTGGGGGCGTTATAATGTGACGGTGAATCTCACTATTCGTTGGTAATAGAATAGCCCAAGAGTCGGCGGTGGGTGGTGATGACTAGCTGCCTTCCCTCTAGTCTTACACTGCTAAATTAGGGACGGCTAGCGCAGATAGCCCTCGTGTAGCTTTGCGCGAAATTCAGAACAAACAAACAATAATTTCCATCGCTGACGTTGTTTTTCCAAACACAATATTCCTTTGTGAAAACGGATTTCTGCGCCGTGGTTCACCTTAAATCTATCGATAACAAATGGAGTTTTGAGACTTGAGGCTTTATTTTTAGATATTTACTTTGTACCTAAATATGTATACATGTATTGTATTTTTACCCAAACATCTATTATTTTTCTTACTATTACTAACCACTATAGTTTCCGTTGATGGTTCAATGATAAAATAACGTGGATCCATGGTCTGGTATGTAACAACAGCATGGTGTCATAATAAGGTACGCAACAATAACATGCAACCCTGGTCTGATATGTAACAACAACAGCATGGTGTCATAATAAGGTACGCAACAATAACATGCAACCCTGGTCTGATATGTAACAACAGCATGGTGTCATAATAAGGTACGCAACAATAACATGCAACCCTGGTCTGACATGTAACAACAGCATGGTGTCATAATAAGGTACGCAACAATAACATGCAACGCTGGTCTGATATGTAACACCAACATGGTGTCATAATAAGGTACGCAACAATAACATGGAACCCTGGTCTGATATATAACAACAACAACATGGTGTCATAGTAAGGTACGCAATAATAACATGCAACCCTGGTCTGATATGTAACAACAGCATGGTGTCATAATAAGGTACGCAACAATAACATGGAACCCTGGTCTGATATATAACAACAACAACATGGTGTCATAGTAAGGTACGCAACAATAACATGCAGTCCTGGTCTGATACGTAACAACAGTATGGTGTCATAATAAGGTACGCAACAATAAGATGCAACGCTGGTCTGATATGTAACAACAACGTGGTGTCATAATAAGGTACGCAACAATAGCATGCAACGCTGGTCTGATATGTAACAACGGTATGGTGTCATAATAAGTTACTCAGCAATAACACGGAACCATGATTCGATGGCCCCCAGTGGCACAGTGGTATGTCTGCGGACTTACAACGCTAGAAACCGGGTTTCGATACCCGTGGTGGGCAGAGCACAGATAGCCCATTGTGTAGCTTTGTGCTTAACTTCAAACACACAAACAAACAAACCAGGCTTCGATAACAGTATAGTATCATAATAACGTAAGTAACAATAATATAGAACCTTGGTGTGGTGTGAAATTAAGCTCCTGTACGAACCGACAGCATGGAACTACTTACCAAGCTCATCATGGAACTAAAATGCAGCACGCGCCGATGTTTTTGAATTAAATTGCAATAAGCCGCGACAGGATGGAACTGTACTCCACCGCGCAGTTGTAGCATGGAAATAAAAACCTAAGAACACAATATATTAAAATCGTAATGCATCCAATATGCGATTAGACTTTGAGTGGATTTAACATTCGTCCCAATTCGTCTTATCAGAGACGTACTTAGGCCTAAAATATTTATTAATTTTATTAACCAAAGAAATGTCGAGTGACTGTATTAGTTGAAGAATGTATAGATGTCAGATAAGAGAAACGTATTATTAGTGCTTTATATATTTAACATACAGCATGGAGTTTTATATAAACTCTTGGATATACAACTACATCAATAATTAAGTCTGATTTGTCTGAAACTGTAGGTTTCCAGCATACAAGACGTGATGAACATTCGGGAAATTTCTTCGCTGATGCTATTACCCGCCAGAGGATGTGCCAAGCGAATTGACAAGATCAGTAGAATTGTCTTTCCTATTGGTTTCCTGATTGTCAACGTTTTCTACTGGCCGTATTATTTGTATTAATTTGTATTGTTTTCTTTTCTGTTTACTTTGTATTCTTTTTAACATGTTAAAGTATTATATTGCTTCATATTGTGCAAGGTAAATTGTTGTCTGGAAAACTGTGTTGCCATGTCTGTGTATAACGTATGTAAGTTTTGAAAACTATTTGACTTGTAATGTTTTTCTAGTTTTGGAAACATTGTTTACCTTTTTGACGGTTTTCTATTTGTAGTCTTCGAGTTACGTTTTTTTTTTTTAATTTATCTTAAAGTCAGTAGTTCAGTTTTAATCATATTATATTTTCGATGTTAAATGTTTTCATTAGAATTGCGTATTGTATGTACATCTGGATGTGTCGTTAATAGCGAGGGTACCGAGTTGTTGATTCAGTGTATGCTAATCATTTAGGTTGGTTAGGGTGCTCGACTCGCAATCTGCGGGTCGAGGGTTCGAA